ACTGTAATAAGGCTGAAAAAACGAGAGTTATCGGAGTGATCCTGGCTGACATTTAGTTATTCGTTTTCTCGTGAGATTTTGGCCGGGAGACTTGATATTTTAAAGGCTTGGTGCTCGAAGTTGCCGCTTGAATTGGCATGGCTTATAGTTGGGGTAGGAATAATGGCAGAGACTTAGAGACATGCGAGTCAGACGTAGGGTTTTTACAGGTCCTTCAACCTCTTACCTCCGCTAGAGACGCGCCATGCTCGTTTCTTGTATTCCTAAGGGGCGCTTATCTACAGATTTAACAATCTCCAGAGAACCAGTATAGCTTCCTGCGTTTACATCCTGCGCCGACATCTACGTATTAGTAAAGCGCACGTCACCTTCGGCCAGCAAGGCGGCACATTTCCACTAGTGTTTGCCGCAAACCCAGACTTACTGCTCCACTGCGGCGGAGAGATTTCAATACATCCTATTTTATTTTGCTTTATTTACATTGTCTCATTACCAGCATCTTCCAGCTTCTTCCGCTGTCGAAGAGAACAAGGAATTCCTACAGAAAATCTCGGCCAATATGCGTTGCAAGACATGACCGTTCTGATACCGAACAACACGGTGGATCTGGTAACGGTTGGGTGGACTGTGTTGCTGCTTAAAGAGTCGTCAGTGAGTCTCACTGCGATTCCATCTATAGGCATACATGTTGGTGCTGAACCTGGTCATCACGACGTTGAACAATGTCAACGTTTTTAGGAACCTTGACTGCTAGTAACTTGGTGCTCTCGTCACCTGCGATGTTTAAAGCCTATACTTAATCCGCGTATAGACAGTGCATGTGCTTGTCTTCTTTGCTCGCATGTTCTTAGATCAGGACTAGATTTTACTTTTGAAATGGTCTCGGTGAAAGCGGGTGAGCGGGCCAAGAGTATTAATATAGTAACAGTGAATTTTCGTCGCCGTTTCAACCTTTTCTTTCATGCCTATGTTATTATCTTTTCTTTCTTTAACAGTATTAACTTGATTGTTTGCCTAAAATACTATGATAAAGCTGGCAGGTGAGCCTTTCAACGGAAAGGAATATTGAACAAAATATCTTGGAAGGGTGTAGAATAGCTTAATAAACCTCTCTCGGGGATGCGTCTAATAGCAGGTTTAGCGTTGAATATAAATCTACTCGTGTATACCCCGCTGCCCTAAAACTATGGAATTTCCAAATACTGGAGCTAAAATCTTTAACCAATAACTATTAAATCGTTACCGGCTGGCTTTACAGCTTACTTAACTTGTTCTTAGTTTTAGAAGAGTATGTGTGGGCTACGGGCTGATTGCTTAAGCATTTCGATGTGTAGTATAAGATTTTTGGTAGTATAGTATAGCCCTAGAGTTAATCTTTCTGGCGCTGAAGAAGGGATGTTTTCTCTTGTTGAGGCTGTTAGTCTCTTTAGTAATTTTCTGTTTCATTATCTTGTTGCGTAAGCAGAGCTTCTCCGTGGATAATTCAGTGTATCCGGAAGTTATAAGAACCGTCTTCTTCCCCTTAATTTACGCATATTAGGGTCCTGCTGCTCTTTGAATCGCTCCTTGGGTTCGTGGTCTTGATTCTGTCGAGTTAAAAAGTAATGCTGGATAATATTCGATCCTTTTCTTTCTAAAGGTACTATTGCTGCTAAGTTCTTGCTTTCCGACTTTAGCGTCTTTACCATTGATGCTGTTAACGGAATGTAAGAAGCTTGGATATGCTTATTTAGTTAACGTATAAGTATAAAACGAAACGCATAAGGCGGTTTATTTTCTTTAATGAAAGGCAATAGATTTAACGCAAATATAAAAGAGGAAATAGTAGACCTACCTCTCGTCTCTCGTACTTAAAACGTAGATACCAAACTTAAAAAGTACGCCTAAAAGAAAAGAGAAAGAAATTATGCTAGATGTAGGATTGCTTGGGTCGGGAGCCGGGCGTAGGGTAGTGTAATCCGTAGCCTCTTGAAAGCGCGTTACTTCTTATTATTTGGGAAACACGTTGAGGCTTAAGTGGGCGGTGGTGGATAAGTTTAAGCTAGGGAAAATACTAGACGTTCTACTAGGCTTAACTCGAGGGTACTGGATGATTGTATGTGGGTGGTAGTATGGCACTGTTTGCTGTCTTACAGTCGCTGCTGCTGTGTAAAGACTGCTTCGGCGGTTCGAAACGAAAAAACTCTACCTTTCTACATGGACTTTCACGCCTCTCTAAAAGAGCTAAATACTATCTTTGCTTTACTGTCATTGCTATCGCAACTAGCGCCGGAAGAGAGGGACGTCGAGAAAAGGACTTGGAATTCAGGAATTCATCCAGGAATGCTTCTATTAATAACATCCAAACAGCGCGCAAAACCATTGTAGTACACCCCAGGTCTGCGAGATGGCCAGTTTCCTTTTCGACGCTAAACTCAAAGCCGGTAGATGATCAAGCGACGAGAGCAACGGCCTCAAAAGTCAAATCCGTAGCACCTCCGGGTCGCGACCGTGCGCATCTGAGTCGCATTTTCGGCTGCATAGCAAGGAACCAACGGCCAAAGCAAACGGTGTGCGGCCTCTGCTGCAAGAAGTCGCGCATGACTCGCGCGCACCACCACCTGCGCAGAAAACACGACTCAGCACCGGCGCTTTTCCGCGCCCTCGCACAGGCTAAACCCTCTCGCGCCAGCAGGCCTCTGCCCTCGCCGACGCAGCAAGTCCGCGCTTCGTACCCACGCCTACCTCCCGCACAGCGAGCGAGACCCCTCCGCCTCGTCTCGCGCTACGCTCAGCCGACCGACCGAGCCGCTCACGACGCTGCAGCGCTCAGCACCCCGCACCCAGCACGCAGCACGCAGCTCGCTCGTCAGCGACAGGTAGGCAGGCACAGGCCAGAGCTACATACTCACTCGTCGCAGAAGCCGAAGATGCAGGAAGGGCGAATACACGGGACAGGAAGCTGCTGCTGGGACATCAACGGCGGGGACGCCGGGGAAGAGGATGCATAAGGCGATGGAGATGGCGGTAGTGGCAGCGATACTGAGAAGAAGCGCTTAACGGCTAGGAGGGAGAAGGGTTCGAGTAGGTTGCTCCCTTGCTTTCTTGCTTCGCTCGCCCGGCCACCAGGCACTACCTATTGTACAGTCGTGCTGCGCGTTCCCGCCCCATCACCACCAACCCACACCACAAGCCCTCTTTCTCCGCGGCTCCCTCCAGACACTCATTGACCAACGCACCGAGCCTCAAACCTCTAGCAAACCCCGCCCATCCCACGCCAACCCCAAAGACCCTCCTCTAAAAAACCCGCCCCCGCCCCACACGCACCACCGGCGCACCCTCGGCGCCACACCCACACCATAGACCTAGCCCACCCGCGTCGCTACCTCTCTGCGTTAGGTGCCTAGCGACCGTAGCGTCCACGAGTAGCGTTTCCGTAGCGTGCTTTTGTTCCGACGTCTGCGTTGCGGGTTTCGAGTCATTTGTGCTGTGGTGTTCGGCGTAGGCGTTTTGTTGAGTAGGGAGGGAAGGGGTATGGGTTGAGGTCTTTTTTGTTCTTGGTGTGTTTTTGTTGAAGATGAATATTTGTGTGCTTTGAGTTAGCTTGGAATGGTTTTCTTGTCTATGCTTTCTTCGATCCTTCCTTCCGTGCATTGTTCCTTGCACTCTTGAAGATTGACCCGCTTATAGAGAGAGGACAGAGAGGGCAGGCCGTGCAAACACCGGCCGAAATCGAAGCCGAAGCGCCCTAGCTACCCATCCAAGCCAACTTCAAGACACCATCATAACCCAAAAAGCCTTCTGTCAACCATCACCACTATAACCATATTATCTCGCTTAGCACGAACCCTATCATCACTTTACTTTTTTAATATTATACTATTCTCTCCTATTAGTAGAACGATAGTTACCTTTCTACTAAGGGAAATCGTGTATTTAAGTAGATAGTTTTACTTAATTTAATACGATAGTAGTGTCCAGCTTTCTCGCACTGTTTAACACCTTTAAACCCTACCGCCACAAAACCATAAGTCTACCCACCATCCCATTACCGTATTATCCCAGCAACCCATCATCCACCCCCACGCTTATCCACATCCACACACGCACCACTCACAACAATAACAACAGCAACCTCATCTTCACCCTCTGCCTCCACCCCATCATCTTCTTCTTCTCCCTTTCCGCCGCCCTCGCCGCCTCCGCCGCCGCCGCACCTCCTCCGGCGCAACCATCTTGTCCGCGTTAAGCTCCGTCAGATACACGATGTCGCTCTCGGTGGCGGCCCAGATACCCATTAAGCCCTGCACGTAGTCTTCTGGCATCGGGAGGCCGAGATCGCGCAGGCTCGAGGCATCATCTCCTCGGCCGCCAACGCCCAAGCCCCCCCTCCGGACCTTGGCGTCGCGGTACAGCTTCCTAACGCTCTTGGCACAACGCGCCTAGTTCGATAGTATTACTGGCACGACTTAGTGTTGACAACAGAAACACAAGGCGAACGTGGAACCTTGAACAGTCGACCAGCCCATGCCTACTTCCGTCCCATCGCACCAGCCAAACCCCGTAATCGAACGCGCCTACGCACGCGCCTGCTACGCCACCGCCACCACCACCGCCGCCGCGCACCACCAACGCCGTAGTAAGCGGCATTAACGCGAGCACCCCGTCACCAACAAGCTTAACCGCTCCACCACCCTACCTCTAAAGCTCTCTATAGATACCGCGGCCCTACGTACCCGAGGCGCGCTGCATAACGAGCTCTCCGCGGAGGACCGCCTAGCGTCAACACGCCGGTGCCGAATAGTCCGCATGACAGACGGAGCACAGTACAATATACTAGATAAAGCAACTGTGGTAGGGGCCGTAGCAGTTGCCAGAGCCAGCGCAGGGCATCACTGCCGCTTGGCGGGAATAGGACCGTGGACGTTAAGAAGGCAAGCGAGGCGGAAATAGCCAGCGCGTAGCTAGCGGATTTGCTTGTATCGACGGCAACGCCGGTGGCTTTGTTCATCGCGACGGTATCGAAGCAGTTAGTAATATCGCACGCTTCCCGGCTACGGACGGACGGAGGAGGCGGCCGCGCTTGTCTTACTTACTCGCCTACTTTCCTTGCCTATAGATAAGTTCTCGTGCTCCGTTACCAGCACCACCACTCTCGCCTATCGGCGCGCTTGTCTTTGTGCCGATAGTTCTCTACAAATATCGGATCTGTTTCCTAATACTCTCGTAATAGAAGCCCTATATAGGTGCCTTCCTTTACCTGCTTCCTCTAAAGAAACGAGGTTAGCTAGTAAGCCCCTTAATAACTCCTCCGTTGATAGTATTTGCTAGTGTCTTCTACGAGTCTACTTCTTAATAACGTATACACCCCGTAGGTCTTTCGTAAGATTAAGTTAAGCGTAAGCTTTATAAGCTTTCATGTTATTAGAATATAAGCCTGCTCGGCTGTGGTTCGGCAGTATAAGGAGGGCCTTCAGGGGGTAGGTTGTAATAGCGAAGCGGCGGGCAGGATTCCCTAGGGAATTACAGGAGCGTAAGCTGAACTAACGAGTAGCAATAGCGTCTCTTGAAGCCACACGCCGTCGTAGCAAGAAGGCGACCACACCTACCGAAGATCCCTGGCCGGAGCCGCCGTCAACGCGTATAACCCCCGCTACATAGCATGGCTTTCGCGGGTTTTTCTACGACCTATCGGGGCGAAGCCGAAAGCGGAGGACTTCGAGCTAGAGTAAAGAAGCTAGAATTTATCCTTAAGGGGTGACGACGGAGCGGGAAGTCGGAAGCTGGCGCAACCGTTGAGGAGGGAAGATGAGGTCGACGGCGCCGACAAGGTCTGTTCCCGTCTTTAAACCGGCCCGGACGAGGAGCTTGTGCTGATGCAGCGGCTTATAGCGTCTTTGTTTCTTGGCTTTCATGTTGTATTGGCGCAGCGGCGAATGCCTTGTTCCACGCTTTGATTAGACTATCTCTACTGGCTAGAAACAGTTTTCTTTAGGATGTAATATGCGAAGCTTGACTGGATAGGTGGGGCTAGAAAAGGCATAGTTAAGGGAGTTGTTCTGCTCGTTAATAATGCTGTCGGTCGAGAGCTGTTGGAACCTTGGTTCTTGGATCTCACACTGCAAAGTTTCGGAGAAAATCTCCAGAACACAGCGGCTTCGAGCTCATTCTTTCCCTCGCTACCTTGTCGACACATGCCCTGGTTACCCAAGCATGCACGCACGTATCAAATACACAGGGCGCCGGGGTTTTTCACGCTCCTGTCCGGGCCGTGCAGCATGCGCTTCTGCGGCACATACATGCGCAGACTCTCGACCAAAGCCGGCACTCGATGCGACCACGATGCGGCAAGGATGCAGGTACGTGCAGCACTTAGCGGGGCATTTTGCGACGACGATTGCCGACGTCTGGCCCACCTTACGCCGTTCTGAGCGCGCATACATGCCGCACGCGCACTCTCTTCAGCGCTTTTGCCATGAGTGAGCGAGCAAAAATCTGCTTCATCCCGGATGCCTCGGCTACGCTGTCAATGTTAATATTAATGCCACCCGAAAGCCAGAATCTCAACCCGTATCCACGATATCGACGTTGCGTTGCGTTGCGTTGCAGCACAGCCGAAACGGCAACCCCCACCCTACCCCACGCACGGAACGCACGGCACGCACCCCCGCCACAGCTCCACCACAACGCACGCACGCCCACCCCAAAACAGCACAACATCGAACGTAGCAGAAACAGGCGTACAGGGCGCATACGGGGCTGCGAGCGGCGCGGGCACAACGCTGGCGCCTGCGCCTGCGCCTGCTCCGATGCGGTAGCCGCGGCTTGCTAACGTTGGACGTCGGCCCTGGTTTTGGGTGCGCTGGGGGCGGGCGGCGCGGCGCGCGTGCGTATACGTGGGTGTATGTGCTGCAGGCGGGAGCCATGCGCTGGCTTTTGCTTTGCGGCGTGACGACCTTAGCATCTTGTGCTGGCTGCTTTACAGCCTCAGCATCCCATGGCCGCGACTGCATTTGAGAACTTTTTCACCGTTTAGGGTGTTGTAGGCGCATCGGAGTGGATTGGGGTTGCTGGGAAGCAAGAAACGTCGATGCCGCAAACAGCACAGGTTTTCGTACTTGTGGAGGCAACGAATTACGACTTAGAAGCCTAGGTACGGACACCGAAACGTAATCTGATGCGCCTACACTCTATATATGACGTTTTTCATGGACCGAGATTATTCTGGGGAGGTCGCTTGGGGTGATGCGGGGGCTTGTGCGCGGCAGTGTGTTTGTTGTGGAGTTGTGCTCCACGTCTTTGTTACGCCCAGCTGCTGCTATATTGGAGCTGCTGCATCTGGGATCTCTACAGACAGTGGCACGCTTCGAATCTGGAAGTTTATCTTCTATTTTTTGCAGAATTTCGGCTTCTACTTAAGGAAATCGGTGGTTTTGGTACGGATATTCCTGCGATGGTGTTGCGCTCGGTGCTATCTCCGTCGTTTATTGTTAGATTTCGTCTTAAACAAGAATAGTGGGAAGACAAGAACTGTTAAAGACCTGTACGGACGAAGAAAGGTTTTATATTCTCGCGCTTGGAATTTAAAGGCACTGTTTCCAAAGACAGTGTATTATCTACTACAGGCCTGTACGCTTTGTCGCACAAAGTCTTTAATGTGGGATTTTATTCGCTCAAAGCCAAACCAGGACATTTCTGCTAATACTTTTGAAACTAAACAGAATGACGTGGTAGAGAGCAGAAGATAGCTAAGGATAGTAAAGAACAAAGAATTTTTACGTACTCCGTCCGCCCAAGAACAGCTACTAGCTAGAATGGCACGAATAGGGCTTCCGCTAAACCTACTCGCGTGGGTAAGATCTTTCTTAAATAAGAGAACCCTCGGCCTCGCCTTCAACGGAGAAATAGAAAACTATAGTAGAATCGATACTAGAATCCCACAAGGGAGTCCAGTCTCACCTATATTATTTCTTATATACCTCCGAGAGATAATCCCAACCTCTCGCGCCTCCTATCTCTCATATATCGACGACATCGCACTTATAGCTAGCTCTGCTAGCTTTAAGCAAAATAAGAAGATTATAGAGGAAGAGGTAAAACATCTCTATAAGCGTAGACAAGAAAACGGCATCGAATTCGACCTTACAAAGACAGAGCTTCTATACTTCTCTAAATCCTCTAAAGCCTAGAATACTACTATTACGCTACCTAACGGCAAAGTAGTAACGGCAAATAATCTCGTCCGCTGGCTAGGGATTTTCTTCGATCCTCTTTTAACCCTAAGAGAGTATGTATCTATTAGAATCAGTAAAGCCCGTTCTATATTTAACCGTCTCTCTTAACTCGCTAATACCGAGCGGGGCTTATCCCCAGGTGCTATACGTTAACTATATAACGTATACGTTATAAGCAGCTCCGACTACGGTATTGAACTCTACGGGAAAAATACTAGGGCGTTCTTAAAGCAAGCTAAAATCCTCTAAAGACTTACTACGTAAAAGATCCTAGGAATATTTAAAACGTCCCCTACTATCCTAGGAGAAATAGAGACCGTAATCCTACCCGCTAACCTACGAATTCCGCAGGCTATATAAAAGTACGCCTTAAGAATAAGTAAACTAGAAGAGAACTATCTAATTCGATAAGCCCTTAATAGGATAAACCTAGAGAATAGAGACGGCCCTCCTACTACGCGGCTTAAGAAGCTAAAGAACGTTCTTTAATCGACACCTCCTTACCTAGAAAAGGTCGACCCCTTTCTCTACCCGCCGTAGTTTATAAGTATAAACTACTCTACTAGAATCTCTATACTTAAGAAGAAGGAGGAGGGCAAAAGCTACTATAACCTCCTAAAGAACACCCCATCGAATCTAGTAGCTATCTACTTAGACGCCTCTCTTATACCTAATAGGAAGGGTATAGGTATAGGCGTTAGTCTACTAGATTTTAGCCGATCCCGAGACGAAGAACAAGCCTATATACTAAAAAACCTCGGACCCTATAACATTATATATAATAGCGAACTCGAAGGTATTATTACTACCTTAGAACTAGCCGTTAATAACAGATATATATCTCAGGATATACGAGTCTTTACGGATAATTAGGCCGCACTCTTAAGGCTACGGGTACTAGCTAATACGCCCGGCTAATCCTAGCAACAACGGGCTATTTAATTAGCTACTACGTTATAGAATAGAGATAATAATATCTCCCTAGAATAGGTCCTAGGCTACGTTAACGTCCCTAGAAACGAAAGAGTGGATAAACTCGCTAAAAAAGCTACCCTACTTATATCTCGAGAGAAAAACACTAGCTATACGTACTATAGCATACTAGTAAAGGCTAAAATCTATACGGCATAGGAGGAGTAGCTTAGATCTACCCTACCGAGTTCCTACGCTAAGATATTTCTACTAGTAGTAAAGCGTAGCTATAAACCGCCCTCTAACGAGCGCGAAATAACCTCCGCTTTCTATTAACTAAAGCTAGGATATAGTTACTGTAAGTCCTATCTTTATCGATTTAACTATACTACTACGGATAAGTATCGATACTTAAGAATAGTAATCTAGACCCTAGAACACCTCCTACTAAAATACCCTCTATTTAGACCCTAACGGGCTCATCTAAAGGACGCTTTAAGATAAAATAACCCGAACTTTAAGGATCTTTTCTCTAAAATAAAGAATATTACGGCTACGGTCTAATTTATTAAATCTACTAAGGTTACTACGCGCTTATAGTACCTTAACGACGCCTCTAACGAGGTATAAAAACGTCGAGCATATCTACTCCTTTTTTTTTTTTCTTTCCTACTTTTATGTTTTTAGCCCTCGAAGGCGAACCGTTGCTTATACCTACCTAGATCTAGCTATAGGGTGAAAGCCCCTCCCTAGCTACTTTTCTTTCCTAGATCTAGCTTTACTAGCTCGTCTTTAATAGTCACCGACTCTAAAAGGACGTTAAACCTAAATAAATAAATAAATAAAATACGTACTCCGTCGCAATAATGCTTAGTACTTCCTCTATCGGGTAACTCCCTATAGGTAATAGTTCGATAGTATAATACGGGGACGCCTCTAGCTAGATATCCTTAAGGTACGGATAGATAATACGTAACTAAACAGTAATATTAGAAAAAATTTTATAAGTAGATTCTTCTAAAAATAGGACGTATCATCTACTCCTAGAGATAGCTTTCTATATGTCCCGTTTTATACGGTCCGGGTCCTTTAAACTAGTTCTCGTAGAGGTAGTTTCTAGTAACTTCTATAGACCTCTCTTTCAGTTATATACAATATTTTATAATTAAGGTGGCGCTTTCTCGAAAGCTCTTGGGCGTATCAAATACTACCGTTTCTTTATAGGTAATTAATCGTACTAATATTAAATTTTATGTAAGTAGTTAGAATAAATAAAATTAGAATGAACGAAAGACTAAGACCTAGGCCTCGTAGAATACTTGTTCCCTTTTATAAAGGATTGGCGTTTTAACCGCAGTTTCTATATAAAATACCTCATCTACGAAGCACTGCATGATTGAAAAGCTCAGTATATAATAGTCAAGCACCTAAATAGTGCCATAATTAGGATTTACATAGTCTAGAAGCGATTTAAAGGGTGTAGGGGCTCTTCTTCCCATTAAGAGCGGATCTTACAACAAGCCTGCTCTGAAACAGTGGGAAGATTAAGCTGCTTTGAGTCTACGAGTTGTTCTTAGACAATGTCATTAATATTTGGTAAGCTTAACAGGACAGTTACCGCCGAAAATTAATCAAAGCTTGCCCTCTTTCTAGTAGACCTACTTATTAATACGCACTTCTGCCCGACGTGGCCGAAGAACAAATAGATATTCAATAGTAACGATATAGTCCGCTTTGCCCCTGCACCCGTACTGTTCGAATACCTTGTCGACCCGACTAAGTAAGCCTACTCACCCCTCTCGTAGCCAACAGGCAAAATGCCTTGTTTGTACTCGCCGAAGAGCTAGCAGTAGTACCAGCAATAATACGGAGATTTGACTGTTAGATCTACCCTACTGGTTTCTTTTTTTATAGCTATGACACTCAGCAACCGTCTATCTTTAGTTCTACAACAGTACCTCGAGTAGTTTGATATCTTTAGGTTAGATTTCCATGGCTGTATATACCCCCATGGCTGTTAATTCCCTAATGCATAACCATTTTTTCCACGTTGTGCCACGCGAATCCTTCTCTTGCACTGACATTTTCACTGATACTTCTTGAAGAACATCACAAGAATCCGTCTCTGAGCTACAAGACTATCATTCGCAATGCCAGTGTTAATGTTTCTCTTTAAGTCTCATTATTTTCATTTTAGTTCGATTCAAGTCATTTGATTTTCTTCTCATTATTTCCTAGTGTTTTTTATTCTTTTCTCGTCCGCAGTAGAAGCAGTTCCAAAGATTTGCAAGTTGCAACACTCCTTTGCAACACCGCCCATCGTGATTCGTCTAAGAAACAAGTAGTTTCCGCTCACTAGCCATGACCGTCCTTTCCATAACCGTCCAATACGACTTCAAGGAACAAGCTGCATTTTCTCATGGACCTGTCTTGATTTCCAATGTTTCCGCGCGCATCTCAAATGGTGTGGCCGTAGACCACCTTAACGACCCTCGACTGCATTTCCTCTGCGACTCGCTTCGCACGCATTTCCTCTGCGGCTCGCTCTTCCTGTGCGACTCGCTCTTCCTGTGCGATTCGCTTAGCGCGGACTTCGTTGGCAAGGCAGGTAAAATCCGGGTGGTTCAAAAGGAAAAGCTCTGTGCTCAGTCAAGCCGCCGATACCCTCGTTCCACTCAACGCTTACCGCGACATGCTTGGAAATCTAATCATTAGGCTCGAACGCGCAGTAGACAGCCTCCAGGTGCTCGGCCTCGAAAGCCATGTCCTGGATTTCTGACTTGAGTTGGTCCCAGAGCGCGTTTTCAGCATGGCCGATACCCAGGGTCACGGCTGCTCTGTAGAGGGAGACCTTCCCAATGAAGGAGTCTTGCATCGGGATCTGGGTGAGTTCGGAAGTTCTGCAGGTCACGTATATCCAGTTGACCAGATCTTCCATTGCAGAGGTAGTGACGCTGGGCGGCATGATGATCTTTCCGACGAAGTATGGAAACTCTTTGGTGCTGAATGCCTGCAACACCTTCTTGTAGATGCTGAACTCGTACTTCCCGCCGCAACCCATCTCTACGACGATGGGAATGCATGGATCGCTTAAGAGGCTGGCGGGATTAGTTAAAGTCATGTCTTGATCGTTGTCGTTCGTGCCGGTGGATATCTGGTGGTAGAAGTAGGATATCTAGGAAGACGCCTAGGAAAGCATCCTAGGCGACAGAGAATGTTTCGGATGTAGGTAGTTGAAAGCTCTTCGTAGAGACTTTATAGGAGAAGGTCATGAAATGGTGGAAGATTTCTACTTATTTGCCTTTAACTACAAAGGGAAATCAACGATTAGGTAAGCGAAGAAAGTCATGTTAAAGGACAATTACTAGTTACGTTGTTCTACACCTAAATATAGCTAGTCTTAACTATACCCTGTTAAGATAGTAACACATTATAATTAAGAAGAATCTAACAAAGTAATTTAAATATCTATATATAGAGTGTACTCTTCTACGCTCTCTTAGTCTTAATATCTTATAATCTGGTACAAATTTCATTAAAGGAATGTAGGCAGCGGAACTATACTTTCTCCGCTAGTTTAATCAGTACGTATTATAACATCGGCGCGTAATCTAAGTCTAAGCAATTCACGGCCTTTCATAGGTGGCTTCTTTATGATTATAGCGATCGCAACAGTTACTTGGCTTGCATGCGCGAAGGAAGGGTTTGATAGTTATTAAGGTATGTTTTTGTTTCTGCGGCTTGCCAGCAGTCGACTTATACTAATTACTAGATTGTTACTAAGAGTAACAGTAGATACTGAGCGGCTTTGGTTCACTTAGCCAGCCTCTTGCTTCCAGACTCATCCTTTGCTTATTCAATGGAAGCGGACTGCACCTGCAATGGTAGATGAATAGAAATATAGAGGCCGCTGCGATATGAGAGGGAAGTACATATACTTTCGTAAGTAACCCAGCAACCTTTACTTTGCTCGACGACAAGAGCTGTAATCGCATCTTAGAGTATATTTGGGTAGAGTAAGCTCCGATGAGACCACAATTCGTTTATTCAAACCCAAAACAGAATATAGGCAGCCGAGACACCAGTAAAGCCAAAGCCGGATCCAAAAGAGGCCAGACAAAGTAAACTTGTCATCCCAAATGCACGTCTTTCTTCGACAACTAATGGTCTCAACGCTATTTTGCAGGTCCTGATCTCTTAAATGTTAATAATACTAACGAGTCCTAGTGCTATACTTTCCACTTTCCCAGGATCGGTTGCATTTGTTTGTCATGCCCCATTGTTCACAACATTACGTTTCCAAATAAATTTGTTACCTTTATATGCTCACGTCCGATCGTGACGCAACAAAACGACAGCCAGGCTTAGCAAACTTAGAGCTGTACAGTAAAAAATTTGCTCGGCACGGTATTAAAAGGGACAGAAATCGAAATTTGGGGGACATTCTCATATCTTTTTCAACCATTCAAAAGGATTCCCGTCTGCCAACCTGTGTTATCATCCTTCTCGCCACCTCTCACTTAGCATCAAAGCTCCAAATAGTTTACAATGGACTACTGGCCCCGCAGCCTCTCTTCACCAGACGCCTTCCAAGATGAAAGCAGACGCCTTACTTTCGATAGTAAAACCATAGGGCGCTACTGGCATTTAGCGCAGCCTGATACAAGCTACTATTGCAGACACAAATCTTATACAATAATCAACATTTTCGGTTATTGCAGCAGCCGCATTATTTAGTAAAGAGCGTTATTGTAAGTGGCACTAGCTTGCGGACGAGAAAGACTTCGACAGTATATATTTGCTTTTCCTACTTAGCTGGATTTAGAGTAGATGGGACGGATAGATAGTTCTATAGAGTAACTACGGCATGACTAAGGCCCAGAGGGCGGCGTCTGTTTCTGTTTCTGCTTCTGGATCTGCTTCTGCTTCCGCATCTGTGTGTGTGGCTGTGTCTATGTCTGTGCCTTTGTCTTGCTCTCGCATCCGCGGAGACGGCGCATACGCGTCTTACGGTCGGGGATAGGGCTACTTAGGCTTCTACTTGATCTTGCGCGAGGCCGTACGCGTGCGGACGTTGCCGGCGTTTTCGTAATTATCCGCGCTGCCGCTGCGGCTGCCACTGCCCGCGACGATAGGCTCTCTACCCTCGTCCTCGTCCTCGCCCTCCTCGTCTTCGTCTTCTTCCTCTCCGTCGCTAGCGTGCGCTCTATACCCGCCGTGCTGCCGACGAGAAGACTCTGCGGCGCGTCTACGTCTGCGTACTAGGGCGCTGGTCCTAGCAGCCCTATTAACATATCCTCTACCTCCTCCTCCTCCGGTGCCGGTGCCGCTACTGCCGCCGTTACCTCGATTAGCGCACGCAGGAGGCGCAGAAGTAGGCGGCTTACGCATAGCCGCAGACTTTAAGGACGGCTAGGGCGGGGGCCGCCTGTTACTGTTACTGGTGTCCTGCTCCTCCTTACCCGCCTCTTCCCGCTTCCGCTGCATCTTTGTCTTTATCCTCCTTTTCGTTCCCTGGCTTATGGTAGGGCTATGGAGACGAGGATCGAGATCTCGAGTCTGGGTCTGGGTCTGGGCCTGAGGCTGGATTTTGCGCTTGGGTATGGGCTTGGGCCTGGGTTTGGGTCTGCGAGGCAGCTCCGCGTCTCGAGGGGTGCTCTTACTCTTGTGGCTTTTGCGAGGAGTTGCTGGTGTGGCCTTGAATTTGAACATGGACTTGGGCGCTTTTGTGTGGTTTTGTGGCGCTGGCTGCGAAGCTCGCTGCGAAGGAGGAGAGAGAGGCGCGCGCGTGTACCGATCCTCGCGGTCGCGGTGGACGTGGTGGCGCGGATGCTGCGGCGGCGGCGAGTAATAACGGTATACGCTATAAAGTATCGAGGCAGATAGGGACGCGCGCTGCGAGATTAAGCTAAGACGGAGATATAAGATCTGAGATCGTATGTCTTTTGCGAGGAAGAGATTTAGAGCGGAACAAACGGACGGGCGGTAGACTGGTCGGTCCTCTTGTGACTCCGGAGTTTGGGATCTAGGACTGGACTGGGATCAAGACTTCGATGTTCGACGTTCGGCCCTCGGTGTTTATACCGCTGGTGGTGCGAGTATTGTAGAGCGCAAACTTAGCCGTCTGCGATTAAGAGTAGGCCGGGATGTTTCTCCTCGGTCTCTAAGCACTAAAGCAGCTCGCCAATACTACAAATCGCTCCAGCCCTTCTACCGACTCAGCCAGAAGCAGTGTCCGTATTTAGAGCATGCGATCGAGTCTAGTCCAGGCTATAGAGTCTCGTCACGCGTTTACTGGGGCATGAGCCCGTTTTGTAGATTGGTTTTTCCTGTGCGTTTTATTCTTGGTTTCTTTTTTTGCATAGTTTTTCTTTGTGCGGTTTCTTTCCTTTGTTTTCTCTACTATTTATACGGGATTAGGGAGTTAGAGAGAAATTAGAAAAGAAGAAGGAGATTAATAGGGGTAAGAGGTGAGTGAGAAGGGTGGTTTGGAGTTGTAGTTTCTTTTTTATATGGTTTTCGACTTCGTCCGCATTTCCGACCTCCATCACTTAAAGTATCCGCGCTCTGCTCGACTCGCCTCTACTAGGAGTTTACCCGGTTAAAAAGCTCGACCCTCTCTTACCACCAAGAATCTCGCATCCACCAATCCAAAAATCCTGTAATCCAAGCGCATTTCACCCAAAACGCACAGCGCATTTCACAATTCCCGCACACGACTATACCAACCACCAATATACACGCATACTACTATACACACCTCCCTACTGTTTCAACCAGTATCCGGAGACTATAGCACACCGAATTCACCTACACTTCTACCTGGATTTCGCAAATCAAGCCACCGGCTTCGCTTTTTATACAGGACGCTTCGACTTGCTGCACCGTATTCTCATCTTTCCAGGGCCCGGGAAGGCGGTGCGCGGTGTAGTAGGTGGAGGGTTTTTGCTCTTTGCTTGTTGCTACTGTCTGCAAATGATTTTTTGTCAATCTTTTCCTCGGACGCCCCCGGGAATTCACCTTAAAGTATAAGCCACTTCCAACTAGATTTTACACTAAGTCTTTACCCAATAATCTCATTCATTACAGACGTCCGTAGGTCTCAGATTCCACCCGAAAAACCGTAAGAATGCGTCTTTCAGCCGGCGTTTTTACTCAGTCTTCACTTCACATCCGCCCGTTGTAAATCACAAACAACAATCTACAAACCACCGAAACCTATCTAAGCCACAGCAACTAGCTCGCGTAAAGGCTCTTATATATCTCCAACCAGTCGACACGCACGCTCATTCGTTAATTTACACGTCCTCGAAACAAACCGACCAACATATTATCAGCACTAAAAAGCATCGACACTCTCCGCATCCGGTACAAAATCTTAAACCACGTCTTTCTACCCACCACCGAGCCTCAAACCAAGTCTCGCCGCTCACCTTTCACCATACCAAATCCACAGCCAAAACACCACTACAAAACCAGACTGCGTCTATCCATCCATCCAGAACCGACGATAATGCAATCAACTACAGCCCTCCAAAACTAAAAATCTAAAACTATCTCCATCACCACGTCCACAAACGAATCACAGCTCCCCAAAACTATCTACAACCAACTCTACCATGCAAACCACGCTCGTATCAAAGTCCACGCTCGACGTAAAAGCACTACTACCTACTTTAAAGCCCCCTTAATCTCTCCTCTCTCGACCGCCTCTTCTTCGCAGGTAGTCTTCGCTATAGTTATAAGCTTCTATAAAACTAAACCTAACTAAAACCGACCGCGACCGTCTTGCGAAGGCACTTATACGTCTTTATTACGTTTAGAAGCGAACGTATACGCTCAATCAAGAGCATAGTATTTAAAGAAACTACTACTACTTTAAAAAAAAACACCCTGAAAAACTAAACCACTACTTCTACCTAAAACTCTCTACTAGTCAGCTAGCGCTATATACTCTCCTTAACTACTTAGCGGAGCATTTATCGATCCACACTTAACCGCACACGCTTACTCCCTACTACTACGACTATATCTACTCCTTTCGCTTACCGGTATTCTTTTAAACTAAACGACCTCCTCGATAATAACGTCCTTACTATTACTAATATAACCGTTACTACCTTATCCCCTTCTCCCTATCTATAACTTACTTACTTACTCACCACTACTATCTACCTACCTAACTAATAACCTACCTAGTACCGTCGCTATCGCCGCCGATCGTAGCCGAGGGGCCTACGACGACGGCGCGGCTACAGTTGTAGTCGTAGTTATAGGTTTTGCGTATATCCGTTCTTACGTTGCCGGTTACCGATTCGTGGGTCGGGCCGGGACGACACGGGCGAGGCATCGCGGAAAACTATACGCGCTATATACTTGTCACGAGAGTTTTTTTTAGTGCTGGTGCTTGTACTTCTGCTTCCGCTACTGTCTTCCGCTGCCGGGGGGCGCTGTGGAAGATATGTGGTGGGTGCGATGCTGTGGTGTTACTGCTGTGGTTGTAGCTGGTTTAGGACTGGTTGTGCTGGTCTCGGTGGTTATTGCAGCCGTTATGGCCGTCGTGCTTGGGGGAGCTGATTCTAGACTCGCGCTTGGACACGCCGTCTATGCCTCTGCTGGTGGTGGTGGTGGTGGTGGTAGCGCTGGCTATCGTATCTAGGTAGCGCGGCCGTGGCCGTGACGCCCTTGTCGACGAGGTTATATTATAGCAGGCCTGGTGCTTATGCTCGTCGGGACCGCGGTCTGTGCTTCGTGGCGCTAGTGGGGCGCCTGGAGTTGTTAGCGCTTCCGCTGCTGTAGTAGCTGGATAGGCTCGTGGGGAATGCTGGCTTTGTGGCGGGGTTTGCGTGTAGTATGGTGTGGAAGCGAGGAAAGAGCGCCGGGTGGAGGAAAGGAGAAGTAAAGGGAAGTTGGAGGAATGTGGCGGTGGGGAGGGGGGAGGAAGGTATATGATTTCTCGTGTAGGGAGTGTTAGGTGTGGCTGGTTAGCTGCTAGCCAGCGAAAACGCGTGTAAGAATAAGTATCTTATGGGATAACGGGACCTGTTGAGCCGGTAATAGCGCAGCTAGCCTTAGCATGCGGCGCGTTAGAGCGTCCTTTTCTTTATAGATTACGGCTAAAGTCCGCAGGGGTACGTCTCGGGGGGAGCGCGTCCTGTTATGTGGCTGGAAGCGCGCTTACTGACGAAAGCTCTCGTGCGCACTATAGGTCGCAATAAGTAGGCATGTGAAACGTATTCGCTCTTCCAGAAGGCTAGGTATAGGGTAGGCAGTTTGTCTTGTTATAGCCTTAATGTGCAGGAACGGAAATATCACTTCCGTTGATTGGAAACGGTAACCGAATAACCTGCTGCGCACAGACCTAAATATATTAGATCTAGCTACTAAGCGTACGCACTTTCGAGCGAGACGCGCAAAACATGCGTTGCACCAGCGCAGGCGAGACGGCGGCAGCAGGTCCATGTTCGGTAGTACGGTATCGGCGCGTCAGCACCAGCACGAAACGAAACGCGCATCACCGCAGCGGGGATAGCGCCGTTGGTTTGGCTTGGCGCGCGTAACTTACGCTTTCTCGCTACCTCATCCGTATTCGATACGGCGACATGCCTCGTAGCCGCTCACGTGCTACGCGGATCGCCCGCCACGCTGAAGACCCCTCTACGCCTCGCGCCTACGTATATAGGGTGTTGGAGTACGAGGCGGTTGCCGCATCGTGTTGGTTAGGTAGGCGTCGTTCTAGTCGCTATATCATGTCACGTCATAGCTTTATATACCTACGGTACGGTACGGTACGCTGCCCCCCGCGTACTGTACCGCAGGCACAACAGACAGCTCGACGCTCAACGCTGTCCATCGCCCGCTGTGGATGGAATAAAACCCTGCTACCCCGCAGCTACCCAGCTACTCTACATAGACACCTCTCCTTCCTTCCTCGCTTCCTTACCTCCTGACTCGCCGCCGCTCCAATCGCGTACAGAGCTAACCCGACCCGTCGCAGCGCGCCACCTTCTTTCCTTGCAGGGCAGTTCGATCGCCCGCTTGTGAGCTGGCGGCGGCGAATCGGTTCGTTTTTCGGTCGCGCCGTCGGTCGGTCGGTCGGTCGGTTTGCCGGTTGGTTGGCTGGTTGGACAGTGTACAAGTGGGCGCGGGCAGGCAACGCGATGCGGGTGCGATGTGCAGCACAGCGAGCAGGCCGAAGCGCAGCACATCGTATCTGGCTGGCTGGCTGGCAGACTGGGTGGATGTTGGTAGGCGCGAGAGAGCCGGCCTTGGCGAAAAATTCCTCGACCGCCTACGCAGGGCGTACCCGGAGACGCTGCTCGCGCCGCAGGGCCGACGACAACTTGCACTTGCGCAACGGCTTGCGTATGCGTCACGTTGTATGCCTACGA